AAATTTACAAATTAAAAAACTTAAAAAATATTCTGAAAAAAAGGTAAATAAAAAAACTTAAGTTAAAAACAAAATGCCGAAAATTTACCAAAAATTAATACAGTCGCATGTATAAAACAAAATACATAAGTACATATGTATGGTATGGTTGGCTAAGACCAAAACGGCTTGCAGAAAAATTTTGTTGTTCGCTTAGCACCTCAGACGTCGTGGGGAGTGTGATTCAGCTGCGCAAGCCAAGTTCATACAAGAAATATTTTGAAATGAATATTTTGATGGCTGTTAAATATTATTAACACGCGCCAAATGTGTGAGTCAGCAATGGAGCAGACAATGGAACTGCATTCGAGAGATTTTTATGAGATTGCTGATAGGGAAAAATTTTAAAAACTTTATATGGAATAATTATATAGTTAAATCATACAATTAAGCTTTGTTTAATTAAAAAAAAATAATTAATTGAATTTAAAAAATAAAAAAAAAATATAATTTAAAAATAAAATATTATAAAAAATAAAAAATATAATGAAATGATAGCATTATACACAATAAACAAATATGATGCGGATATAAAAATCGAAAAAGTAAATAAAGTTGTTTTATTTCTAATTTAATTTTTTGGGGTTTTAGGGATTTTCATTTGGTTGTTATTATATTATTTTGATTTCAGCATTAATTTTACATTTGTGCGCTAGTGTACTCAACATCGCTGTCGTCGGCTTTGGTGCTGAAAAATCACTTGTAGGTTGATGCCATGATAATGTTATGTTATTAACATAACATGTTAATGTTATGTTATTAACATTACAGGTAATGTTAATGTTATGTTACTAACATAACATGTAATGTTAATGTTATGTTACTAACATAACATGTAATGTTAATGTTATGTTACTAACATAACATGTAATGTTAATGTTATGTGATTAACATAACAGGTAATGTTAATGTTATGTTAATGACATGCTATGTTAATGTTATGTTAATGGCATGTCATGTTAATGTTATGTTAAGGGCATGTCATGTTAACTTATTGATAATGTGTTTCATACGAAATGTACTAGGCGCCCAGCATGCGCCAGTAGGTTGCCGCTGTTAAATCAAAAATGTTATGTTATTAACATGTCATGTTAATGTTATGTTATGTTAATGTTATTTCACTAACATGTCATGTTAATGTTATGTTAATAACATATCATGTTAATGTTACATTAACATAATATGTTATTAACATAGCATCAACCTACTGGTGCATGCTGGGCGCCTGGTACATTCTCTGTGACGCGCTGTGCAAATTGCAAAATTTTCGACCGCTGTTTTTTCTACTCATAATGTTAATGTTGGCACCAATATTAATGTTAGCAGCACTTTTAGCGTTAGCATACTAGGGATTAAAATTTATTGCTTTAACAATGCAATTCCCGAAAATGCATTTAAAGTGTGTGGACTGACAAATAAAACGCACATTTTAGGCTTTTAAGTAATTGTATATATTTTTATTTTTGTTGAGAATTTATAATTATATGTTAATAATGTTTGAAAAGTAAGAAATAGCAGGCTAAGAATATAACTTTTGGTAACTATTTCGGTTTGCTTTAGAGAAAAAAATTGTTGTGTTTGTAGCAGCAAAAACATCACTGAACTGATTTGGGCATGCTGCTGTTATGACAATCGTTGGCTGGATAAAAATGGTAAAAACCCGGGTCCCTGCCGATTACGTAGAGCCGACTGTCGTGGGAACGTTGCCTGAATAATTCGAGGCATGCTGCCGAGTTGACAGTTCTTGTTCGTATAAAAATCCGGCTTCGTTTCTATTAGACCCTATTGTAGTGGGAGAAATACAGAAGCATTGCATTCACTCTCAACTGACTGAAAAGGAAGAGAAAGGAAATTTTTGTTATTCTCTGTAGTTATAGATTAGTTTTATTAAAAAAGAAATATAGTACTTTGGGGACATAAGAAGGCAAGTCTGCACCAAATTACGTAAAAGAAAACAAATTTTTATAAATAAAAAATAAAAATATAAAAATTAAAATATAATAAAATGACAAAATAAAAAAAATAAAATAAAAAAGATAAAAATAAATAAATAAAATTACAATAAATAATATAAAATGGGTTCTTTGATTTTAACAAAAATTGTGAGATTATGTTTGAGAGATGTTCATAACCAAGCTTTAGATCTTCTCATTATCGGCAACTTTGCCATATAACTTTTTTTATAAGAAACGTACTTTTTTAAATCCACGCAAGCCATTTACAACGCTTGAAAATTCATTCGCCTTCTCTTCTTACCGTCTTCAAAGTTTTCAAAGAGTTTCATCTCAGAAAGAATTTTTTTTGCTCTCGGAAATTATATACTCGGGTCTGTTACTGGAAGAAAATCATAGCAATATTTGTAATTTTGTTTCATGTTAGTTCTATTAAATATACTACAAGCTATCGCCTATCTACTTCTGCATGTCACACACAAACAAAATGATTATGGGGTTTCATAAAGTACCTCACATACCATCACCAAAAAAATGCAGTAGAGTCAGCTGGATGTTCGAAATTTTCATTGAGATAACTCATATATTCACCGATACATGCTGTACAAAGTAACCCGAAAGATCGAAAGCCTTTATATTAACTATATGAGACCTCAGGAAAATATTGAGCCAATTAAACCCATTTGTGGTACACAGAGTTACTATTATCAGGAAATGATTCTCTCGGACCTTACACTGGAGCGATAAAAGTTAAATTAAAAAAAAAAAAAAATTTTTTTTTTTGAAATCTTTCATATGTTATACTCGCTTGATAATTCTTTATATTTAAATTATCTTCAAATAATATATTTTTTTTAATTTTTCAAACATCCAAAATTTGGGTATTGTACACTAAATTAGTTATTAAAAGTTGCAAATTAGTTTATTGCTTGTCTATTCATTAATAAATTGAAGCCATTTTTGGCAAAAACTTAAGCACAGCAACGGGTTTGCCCATCTCAAATATTGACTTCCGAGTTATTCGTCTTTTTGTAATTGGTTTTTGTGTGAGTACATGTACATATGTTTGTGCGTATACATGCTAGATATTTAATAAAGTCGTGATGGGTCACGTTGACCATAACGCTACCCGACGACAGTTTTGGGGCTTTAAACCTATTTCTTTTTGACTGATTCGACTGCTCATAAATTGAGTAGTCAACAGGGTGCTTCAAGAAAAAACTTTGAATTTTTTTTTCAACTCGAAGAAGGGGGTAGGTAATCAAATCATTCACAAAACAAAAGATCCTACCTCAAGCCAGGCGCTGCAGCTTAACTCTAAGGGGAAGCAATTTTTTTTTAGGTACCCATACATTTAACATACGAATTTTCGTTTTTTCATTCATACTAAAATTTCACCAACTAATTTTCATTTCTCAAAAATAACCATCACATATTCAAAAAGTTCACTTTTCAAACTTTTTAAACTTTTAAAAATTATATATTAACATAAAAAAAAATAGCGACCCTTTAGAGTTTCCAGCTTAACTCAAAAGGCCTGGCTTAAGGTAGGATTTTTTGTTTTCAAATTAAAAAAAATTTTTTGAGGCACCCTAGTAGTCAATAAACCTTTTCTACTGCTGAGTCCTTAAA